GAAATTGGAATTCTCCCTATTTCATTGAAAACAGAGGTGGTACTCCTTGTTTGTTGGCCAAAACACTACATCTTTCAGTGGGTCTTCTTTGAGTGTATGTCTTTCTTTGTCAAGTTGGGAGAGAGGCAAACCTTTCAGCAAATGGAGTGTTAGAATAAGCAGCTTGCCAAAAACGTTGGGATGGATTGAAGCAGGTACCAGCTTCTGCAGCCAAGAGAGGCAGCTTTAACAGAACTGTTACTTTAACAATAGGTTACCAGAGCCATTGGGCAATCTGACTAAGAGCCCCATATTTATTTCCCTAATTTTATAAACATTTAATAGGTCCTTATTAAACACATCAGCCAGCATGATTTAATAACACAATCAGTCCTAGAAGTTTAAGAAAATTGAAAACAGGGTTTGAATGTAATGCAGCCACAATTACTGGAGATTATAGGGAATCACTCCCAGATGTCTACAGGGGAGAACTGCTAATCTCTGTTTGCGTGGAGGTGATTTCCTTTGGAATCCTGCCCAGTCTTCAACAGTGCTAGGGCTGAACAAATTAGATTTGAAAGTCCCCAATTTTATGACTATGGTAATATACTCTGTGTATTTAGAGAAACACTAAGTTCCTATTTGCACTAGCTCGGGGATGCTGGGCAGAGATATTGGCTTCATTTAGTTTGGCTCCAATGTGGAATATGAACATAGGCTTGAAAAGGATCAGCATGTGTTTCTGTGGCTCTTCCAAAGGTATTCTGACTCCTCTAAGTCCACCATGCCAGGGCATTTGCATCATGGTGTGCTGAGAACAGATCCCAAAAATGTGTTGCGATTTGACTTAGAAGACACTGTGCTGTAGTGACCCCTCCTCCATAAACTTTTGAGCTCTCAACTCATTGCTGTCTTTGCTCATAGATCCCACCTCTATGGCTGTTCCTGTGCACAGAGGGTGGCAACCTGGTAGACCAGGCTTTGCCTTTCTCTCTCAGGCAGCTTCTGGATAAGGTGGACTCATTGCAAGGAGAAGCAACTTTTTGACTCTGTTTGAAGCAGTAAGAGCCAGGAGGCTTAGGGATGAAGTCTTGGGGCAGAAAGAAATTCATAGCAGCTTTGGTGTCTACCCTTCTTGTGTGCTATTTTTTAAGAATTGCATGGACATTATAACAATGGCTCACAATTGCTGAGCACTTACTCCTACAGGCCAGCATAGTGTTGGATAAACAGCTGTAAGCCTTGCCAGGACCCGGTAACATTGCTGGCACTCCCTGCAATTTACAGAGAAAAAGAGATGCTCTCAACATTTTAACTCATGTTTTCTAAGAGAGTAAGGACAAAAAATTGCAGAGCTTCTATTTCTGAAACTCCTGTTCTTTGTATATATGTGTGTGCATGTGTTCATGCCTCTGTGTGTGTGTGTGTGTGTTTGTGTGTGTGTGTGTGTGTGTGTGTGTGTGTGGTCTATCTGCCTGCCTTCCTCCCTGCCTACCTGTCTGTCTGTCTGTCTGTCTGTCCGTCCCTCTGTGTGTGATATGTGTACCTGCACAGGCATCCCTGTGTCTGAGCACAGGCATGCAGTTGTCATTATGCACATGCGGAGGTCAGAGGACACCTTTGGGTTTTTATGTTGACTTTCTATCTTGTTTGAACCAGGATCTCTCTTTTGTTGTTGATTGCTGCTTAAGCCAGGTTGGCTGGCCCAGGAGCTTCCAGGAATTCTATCTTTGCTTTTCTTCTTGAAGGGACACTGGGATTACCAGTGTGCAATACCCTACCTGGCTCTACATGAGTTCTGGGGGTTCCAACTTCCATCCTGATAGTTGCATGGGAAGTGCTTTATGCACCAAGTCATCGTCCCAGCCCTAAGGCTCTTATTCTCTATGTCTTATGTGTCTGGAAAGAATGTAGGCTTCCTGTGAGTCTTACCATTCACCCTCACAGTTCTGCCCTTGCCCACTCATTTTATCTGGACACTGTGTGTCCTCCTAGTGGTTATCTGGAGTTTTAATGCACAGACTGGTAAGAAGGAAAGGTTCAAAAGAGGAAGAACATTGCATAACATTTAGGAAAAATGTTGAGCCACTTGGCAGATAATAAGAGGATATGAAGCACCGAGGGGAAGTTCACTACTAGCTCCCATATCTCAGGGACTATCCTAAACCTCTCTTGCATTTCCCTTTATTTTAGTTGCCCCCATAATCCTAAGAAGTAGCTATATCCCAAAATAATCCTTGTTTTACACCATTATATAATGTGTTCACTTTTACCCAGCTTGCAAATAGCACACTAGAGATATGTACCAATCTTTGTGACCAGTGCCTACCCTTTGTCACCAGGCTGTAGCTCTGTGCATTAAATAATCTTGCATTTTTTGGGAATGCAGTCATGAAATTCATGCTCTTTTTTAGGCTACTTTGATTTGTTCAACTGTGTTTTCTTGACCTACACTGAACCTTTGCCCACAGTTCTCAGTATGTTTATCAAACTAGAGTGAGATTAAAACCCTTAATTATTCCTCTGCAACCCAAGTTATATCCTTACCTCACCATACTCCATGAACCCCACTGACATGTGGCCAACTCACAGCCACAAACATATCCATTGAAGAGGTGTAGTGAGGCTATGTGTGCCAGATATTGAAGCAAAGTAAAGTATCTTTGACACTTTAGACAAACAAAAACAGCAGAGATCTCTACTCACCTTCTATCCTGGCCAGGGATTTATTTGATGGTTATCCCATCGCAGAAGACTGGAGCATCCTGAAACATGAGTGAAGGCTTTTGCTCATTCTTTCATATAAGACCAATTGTTATAAGGATTGCTATACAGAATTTCAGGTGCTGGAGAGATGGCTCAGCTGTTAAAGGCTAGGCTCACAACCAACAATAGAAGAGAATTTTATACACCAAACAATAAGGTACCTATGAGCTTGGTGGAGACTGAGGGTGATTCTGTCTCTTCTGAGAGTTCTATGGATTAGAACCCAAGATGAGAATATTCCAGGGGAGCAAACATAGACAAGAACATCTCAGATAACATACCAGATGAGTAGACATTATGTGGGAGTCTCCCAAGTGAAACCACCCTAGAGGGAAGATGACTCTAGGTGGGCACCCCAGGCTAGAGCTAACTCAATGTCCCAATGTCTTGAGGCCTATAAAATCAACCAGCCACACCCTGCTCCAGTGTCCATTATGCCAACTCTGAGAAACAGCCTAGATCCTGACCATACAAGGCTGTTACAGTAACCCAAAATAGAGACCAGGCCAGAAGAATGCCTGAACAGGTAGCACCCATTTTTACCCTTGTATGACTCACAGACATTAGAAACACAAATTGGTTGTTTTTGTAAATGCCTATATTGTATATTTTTTTTAAAAAAAGACCTAGCCAATTAGAAGCAGTCAAAAAGTTATATAACCAAGGACTTTCTAAAGGAAGTTAAGCACGTAACTGTAACCAGTCAACTGTTTTCTTTGCTTTCCTTCTCTGTTCAAGAAGAGTCTCTCCTGGGCTGGGAAGTTTGCTCAGTGGGTAAAGTGTGTGTTGTGTAAGCATTGCCATCTATGTTTGATCCCAAATAACCCAAGTAAAAATACAGGTACACTAAGATCTTAACATCAAGGTTGGGAAAGTTGACACAGGAGTGTAAGGTGTAAGGAATTTCTGCCTGCTGCCTGGTTTTGTCCCGCTGCCGCACCAGCCCCAATTAACACACCGAGACTCTGTATTAGATATAATTCTGTTGGCCAGTTACTTGTTTCTTATCGGCTAGCTCTGTCTTAAGTATTAACCCATTTCTATGTATTTCCACATGGTCTAACCGAGACCTTTCTCCAGACTCTCCATTTCGACTCCTCCTTACTACTTCCTCTTTCCTCCTTGTCTCCTAGCCCCTCCTATCTTCCTTTCCTATCGGCTAACAGTGCTTTATTCATTAGTCAGTATGAGAAACATATATACATAATGACATCTCCCATCATCTCCTCTTTTCTGTCTAAATAAAAAGAAGGGTTTTAACCTTAAACATAGCAAAACATATCATATAACAGTTATCAAATAAGAATCACAGTTAACAATATTTAGTCCCTTAACATTTAGTAAGATTTAAAGAAAACATTCTATCATCTATCCTAGCTTTGTGAGTCTAAAGTCTTTGTAACTTATCTTTACTCCTAACTAAGGAAAACTATAACCATAACTATGTCTTCAACTCCTTCAAAGACCACAAAAGGATAGTATATAAACTCTAGAAATGCAAGAGACAACTCACTGCCTGGTAAGTCACCTGAAGTTTTTCTGTAACCTTCCATCTTCAGCCCATAGGCCATAGTGTGTCTAGCACACTCTTCAGCAAAGCAGGAAACTTTAAACTGTCTTTTTGTACTGGCAGTTTGTCAGTCACTTTTCTTTTTCTTTTTTTTTTAACAGCTGATATAGTTTATTCTGTACTAAAAATTACAGATTTTGTGACAACATATAAATAAATTTCTATTACAGTAACTTGATACTCTGAATTAAGAATAACAAAATTTTACTTATTCACAAACTTGAAGCTGTGTGTTTTGTTTAGAGGTGATCAATTTTGATGCATAATTTAGATTTACAGAGATGACGGTCAGTCAAGTGTACAGTCAGTTAGGTCTAAGTTCTGTGTGTTAATTATGTTCTTAGGCACATACCTGTAATCTCAGCACTCAGGGTTCTGAGGCAGGATTACTAGTTTGAAGCCAACCTGAGCTACATAAAAACATAGAATCTGTTTCAAGTGCACGTACGTGCGCACGCACGCGCGCACACACACACACACACACACACACACACACACACACACACACACACACAGGAGTCTAGAGAGTACAATTAATCACCTTGTACTCCTTGATAGACAGAATACAAGCAATGTAATTCCACCAAGGTCATAGTGGTGTCTATAATACAGGCTTGCCTCCACAGGTACCCGGCGCTAACCTGTAAAGGCCTACTATGTGGAAAGTAACAGAGAGGTGGTAATTAACAACATAATCAACTCTTATTAAAAATGAACAACTTTGGCTACTTAGTTTTCGGTTTCTGCGCTTTGGGCAGATCCAGAACTTCTTCATAGTCTGCACTCATTCCCTGTGTCCAGCGACCAACTGTGACCATCCGATCTGAATTCTGATTTTCAGGGCAATCTTTCTTAAAATGTCCCACAGAGCCGCAGAGTGTACAGCCGCCACCGTCAGCATAGACTCCTTTGGGATTTTCAGGGCAGGACCTGGACAGATGCCCGAGTTCTCCACAGACAAAACATTTTGCAAAAGGAAATTCACCAAGAGCAGGGTCTATGCTAGCTCTGCACTTTGTGATCTCGTGCTCTGTGGACCCGCAGCGGTAACAAATGCCAGTGCCCATGTCCTGACTTTCCAGTGCAGCCGGGCAATCGGCAACTCCATGCCCAGGTCTTCTACAATGGAAACATACCATTGCATTCTTCTTTGCTGCTTGTCTTTTTAACCGTCTTTCTTCCCATTGGTTGTCTTTCTTTAAGGCCACTGCGACTTCTTTCCGGACTTCCTGGCTGTCTGTTGCTATCAACTCTCCATTGTGAAGCCTCTGCGAATTCTGTTTTAGGTATTCCATGAATCCATTCACATCCTCATTTAAGTACTCTTTTCTTTTTGTTCTTTTTATGTTTTGCTTGAGGGGTATCATTTTTAAGGGGTAGCCTACCAAACTGACGTTGTTTATGCTTTGGAAGACTTTGGTCTGAGCTCTCTGCAGATCCTTTCTTCATGTCCTCCCATGATGTCGCAGACAAGGGTCTCTTACTATTTGAGGTAGTCACTCTAGCCCATCTGGTCATGGTTTCAGCACAGGCACTTCAAAGACCTGCTGGGAATCCTCCTGTCAGTCACTTTTCTCTGTGTCCTGCAGACTGTCTGGCAGACTCTTCCATGAAGCAGGATCTCTGTAGCAATGTCCATCTTGAATCAGCAGTCACTTTTTTGTGGGTCCTGCATGTCCAGTTTATACAGCATAAAGTCAAACAGTCCAGATAAGAGCAGTATCTTGTCCAAATGGCTAGTCTTGCCATATTGGAAGTAAACTCCATAACGAGTTTCTTCAATGTCCATCTTCCTTTTTGACGCAGGTGGTGTTGCCAGGAGCATTTATGTCTTACTGTCAAGAAAAACCCTAAACCATTTTATATACCATATTCTGTAGGTCTTTGAAAGGTTTGAAGAATGCCTATCCATCTCAAATACATGTCTGCATATCTAGAAATCTTAACTAACTTAACTATAATATCTGACTATCATAGGTTCTATCTATAATCTGTATTGAATTATACATTACATTCTAAACACAATACCTAAACAAAAGGAGAAATATACTTAATTACAAAATTGATCTTAAATTTATATCAATAAATGAAAATCCATTCCAAAACAAAGTATTCATTTCTATACCGTAATATCCTTTATAAAGAATTGGCTGTGATCATTAATCATTTATAACCAAGCCCACTTAAATGAAAACAAACATTTATAAACAATATTTGGGAATTTGGGCGTCATTCTTTCCAAACTACTTCCTGCTGATAGGGGGCGCTGTCATGGGGATCCTAAGAAGCCGCAGATATCTTGGCTGTAGTCTGCAAGGCTGCCATGTTCAAGCTGTTTTGAATGTTGGATCACCAGGAACTCTGTTTCAGGGGGTCTGGCTTGATCAAACCACATTAGTCTGGAAGGAATCCACAGCTTTTTATTTTCTGTGGAAACAAAAATAGAAATCCTTTTCCCCAGTAACTTGTCCTTAGACTTGAATTTTGGAGTCAAAGCATTTTTAAAATATATAAATTGAATTAATTCAGCAGCACTTGTTTTAACAGTTGTTGTTTCCTCAGTAGTCAAACAATACAAAGACAATATAATATAATACCATACAGTATACAAATTCTCTCCATCTGTGGCTTTTTTATTATTCTGTTTCTTTTTTTTTTTTTTTTTTTTTTTTTTTTTTTTTTTTTTTTTTTTTTTTTTTTGAGACAGGGTTTCTCTGTGTATCTCTTATCTGTCCTGGAATTTACTCTGCATACCAGGTTTACTTTGAAATCACAAGATCTGCTTGCCTCTGTCTCTCAAGTGCTGGGATTAAAGGCGTGTGCCGCCACACCCAGCTGTTCTGTCTTTTTAAAACCATTTTTTTATTCTCTCCCAAGCCTACATATATTTTAAAACACACTGTAAACCTTTAGAGGTTTTCTTAATGTGAATCTGTCTTTACTGTAAATCTTTATCTTTTTCTGGCCACGAGTCTTTTATCTGGTAAACAACAACATTGCTAAAATGAAATTTATAGTTGTTTCTGCAGCGGTTTATCAAACATGGCAGCGGCTATAGCAGCGGCTATATTACCGCCAGCACTGAGAGCTGTGTGCTTACTGCCTTGGTCTGTACTGCCATCCAGCCCCATGCTGTCGGCTTGGAGATGTGGGCCCTGCCATTGCCAGCTCTCATACACACCAATGAATTGTTAGCAGAGTTATTTAAAAGCCATACAGTTTTTTTGCCACTTATGCTGAGTCAGGAAATTTCCCTTAAAGGAGCTGTGCAATCTGCTTGTCTCTCACAAGTCAGAGTCCAACCGAGAAAAATGCTGTTACCAAGAAACCTTGCTTGTCTCTGTTCTTTTGTTTCTAAAACCCTTTTTTAAAGCTTTTGTTAAATTTTAAGTGGAGTTCTTATTAGCCACATGGGCACCATATGTAAGGTGTAAGGATTTTCCACCTGTCATGGGTCTTGTCCCGCCGCCGCACCAGCCCCAATTAACACACCGAGACTCTGTATTAGTTATAATTCTGTTGGCCAGTTACTTGTTTCTTATCGGCTAGCTCTGTCTTAAGTATTAACCCATTTCTATGTATTTCCACGTGGTCTTACCGAGAGCAGAGGAACGGCAGTTCTGCTTTCTCCAGACTCTCCATTTCAACTCCTCCTTACTACTTCCTCTTTCCTCCTTGTCTCCTAGTCCTTCCTATCTTCCTTTCCTATTGGCCAACAGTGCTTTATTCATTAATCAGTATGAGAAACATATATACATAATGGCATCTCCCATCACAGGATGATCTATGGAGTTTGTAGAACAGCTTTTTAGCCAAATGGCTAGCTCCAGGTTCAGTGAGAGATCCTGCTTCAAAAGTTAAGGTGGAACATTGTAGATAAAGATACCTGAGATCATCTTCTGGTTCTATATGCATACATACATCATGTACACCTGCACATAAGCACACTTTAACACACAGAGGGGGGGAGAGGGAGGGAGAGAAGGAGAAAGGGGGGGTGAGATGGAGAGAGAGGGGGATGAGAGGGAGAGAGGGAGGAAGGGAGAGAGAGAGCAAGAGCACATAGGCATATAGGCAGGCACACACAGCCTCCTCCTTGTATTCTGTCATGAAGGATATGAAGGACTGAATCAGACCCACACCACTTCTCTATTGCTATTTACTTGGATAAACTCTCCAATTTTTATACCGCAGTTCACCTTCTTTGCACAGTCCTAATTATGCCATATGTCATATATGGCCATGGCACCACAAGGGGCAGTTTCGTCTGAAGTAGGACATGCTGAACTCTAAACATGTCTCATAGGTGCCTTAAAGTTCAGCTACAGACTCACCAAGAGCAGGTAGCACTTTGATGACTACTTAGTGTTTATCTTGAGTAGCTCAGATGGCTTCATTGAACACAGCAGCATAAGGACTTAATAACACTTAGATGGAAACATACACAAACAAGCTCAATTGAAATATAAGGGAAGAAATCCAACGAAATAAATAGGCCTTTTGGTTTCTAAACTGGGAATCATCCAATTCCAACCTTAAACATCTCACTTAATCAAAGTTGGTTGGTGCAGGCACCTTCCCACAAAATCCTCAGGGCCAATTCTAATTACATGATAATTAGTAACTGAGTGTTTATAGAGCATGGCTATCTTGGAGCCTGTCTGCCTGGCTTTGTATCCTTATGCCACCAACCATTAGCTCTGTATCCCTGGTTAAGTTTACCCAGTTTTTATGAGCCTAAGAATCCTCATCTCGGGGCTAGAGAGGTGGCTCAGCACTCCCTACTCTTCCAGAAACCAGGGGTTCAACCCCCAGAACACATGCTGGTGACTCACAACACTCTGTTTCATATATCTGACGCCCTCTCCTGGCCTCTACAGGCTCTACATGTACATAGAAACACCCATGCACATAAAATGGTTTTTAATTGGAAAAAAGTAGTATTACCTCTAAAATGGAAACAGAATGGAATATACCTCCTGACTCATCAAATAAATATGGAAGTCACTTAGAAAACAAATTTGTTCTAAGAACATCAGTGTTTGAGTGGATTGTAGTAGAAATGGAATATGGATTTACTCAAGTTTGAGTTGTATCCTGGCCCTATCTCTTTCCACAGCTGTCATAGATACAGCTTCTGCATCTCATTTTACTCTTTTTAAATAAAGCAGGGGAATATTTCTAGTTTTAAGATTTAGCGAATGAAAGCTACATGAGGTAGCATACCCACGTAGTTTGGACTCCAACCCACATGGTCGCTATAGATTAGACCTTGACGGTCTCTAGAAGAATCATTTGTTCGAGTTTTAATGCCTAGGATGGTGCTTAGGTGAGGGGTAGATCTTCAAGTGGTGGGGTGCTTTGTGAGGTTTTAGCTCATCACGTTGTATCCTCAAGGTATACTTTGGTACACTCTTTGCCTTCTTGCTCACTTCAGGACCACGAGGAGAATAATGTTGCTCAACCACATGCTCCCTGCATGTGCTGCCCTACCAGAGATTCAAAAGAACAAACAAAATTTCCAATTCATCAGAATTTAGAACTTCTAAAACTCTGCATTGTGTGTAGTTTTTTTAGGTATTCACCTTGGTGATATCTAGCTGGCTAACACAAATGGATGGAAAAAACGTTTACTCTCTTTGAACCCGTTCCCTCATCTGAAACAAAGAACAAGGATACCTAGCTTATGTGGTCAAGGTTAAATGAGAATCCTGTGCAGTCCCCTAGTGTAGTAGCTATACTGAGTAAATAGCAACAGTATTTATCATCTATGTTTTCAAATCACTGGGCAGCTATGACCTCTAAGCTGCACTTCCTCCTATGAAAGACATTTACCTAAATGCATAAAAATTAAAATGAAAACATGGTATATGCATCCCTTGCTCCCTCAATCTTCCAATATCTACTCTCTTTGCATAAACATCATTCTTTTTAACAATCCCATTAAGACCAATGTGTGTTCCCCATATATTTTTGGATATGTGGTCTTCCATGGGAGTGTGGTTGACTTACCAGGGGCTACATTATAAGGGTTTTTTCTTGTGAGAGCATTTTGACAGCTAGGAGCCAAGGAATAGCACAAAGTCATACCATACAATAAATACCATATGCGAGATTTATTAGGCAGAAGGCCAGAATGGCAGCTGCCTTTGAGTAGGAACACAGACAGCAGTGAGCTGGGTGGAGGACCAGGGTTTTATGGAGTCTCTGGAGCATGCATCCTTAACTCTGAAACATTGTTTGGCCATTAACTCTGAGTCCCGGGGGAATAGGGATTTCCAAGACTCCTAACACGAGTAGACAGGTCAGTGGTAGGGAGATTTTCTTTTGTTCCTTTTACCCTACATACATTTTGTAAAGACACTGTCTCCCCCTCTCTGAAGTTAACAATGGCAATAGTTCCATGGTGAGATTTCTTGTCCAACCTTAGTCTTCTTGCTGAGGTTTAGTCTGCTTGTGTTTGTACAGGTCTTATGCATGATGTCTCAACTTCTGTGAGTTCCTATGTTCAGTTTCTCTGGTGTTGTCAAGGAAAACAG